CTATTAAAAGTAAAAAACATTAAAACATAAACATTAAAAACAGGAACGCTGTATTAAAACTGGGATAATGTATTTTTAATTTCATGGGGATTCATGTATTAAAATTGACCAATCGGTACCACGTTATATTAAAAATTACAATTTCTAGTTAACACTATAGACAACAGTAATGTTAGCTAGCTAACACAAAGTTGAGCAGAAATTTGTTTGACTGCTTTTATAGATGTTTTGACTTTCATGTTGTTTTACATCTCTCGGAAAAAAATTACAGCCTTTGGTCTTTTTATACATTCTAACAACTCCGAGCTATCGCTTCCTTTTTATAAAGAGTTACACAATAAAATGATAAGGTGTCAGCGGTATTAGCTGGCTTACAGTAAAGTTAGCTACGAATTGGTTTTAGGTTCATGTAAACTGCTGAGACTTTCTATATAAAGGGTTATTGTCCTTTTGGTTAATGTTCAAACATGAAGCAGTGTAATGAGAACAATTTATCAGACTATCTTTGTTTATAACTTGCAAATCTCAAAAACAGCCGTAAAACATCACAAGAGCCTTTGCTTCTAAAGTTAGCATTGAAACACTTCCTAACCAACTTCACAGTTTGAAAATCTTACCCAACATAATGAAGGTAATAATCGCTAGCGAATGATAATGCTAGCTTGCTAGTAGTACATTTCGCTAGTCATCAGTTAAATGCTATTTTAGTCGTTGTGACCTTTTGCTAGTTATCTATTTTGTTTAACTGCTTGTACTACTTTGACATTTTGCCCTCTGGTAACTCAACAATCCACTATCTTTTAGCAGTGTACATTTTGTTAGATTCATTTCATTTTGTTTGCAAACAAAACATTTTAAATTGCCCTGAGCTTTTCACCCTGAGAGTGAAGTTGGAGTAAAATAGCCGCCAAATGAATACAGTGAATGGATTAGAGGGGAACACATGCACTCAGCCTGACTTACAAGTTGCACAATTTCAAATGCTGTCTCACTGTTTCCTCACCAAATGAGAATTGTTTTTACCTCTGATCATTAAGGCACATTATTGTATTGATATTGTCAGACGCCTCTTGTTTTCTACATCCCAAACTAAAGTGGTCTTGTTCTCCCTTAATGCCTTTTCCATTTTAAAGATATTGCTGCATAGCCATTGTTGTCTCATGTACAGATTTTTCTAGTTTGCCCCTTTACACCTACTCTGAATATGCTCTTCAATACGCCTCGCAAACCTAAAGGGTCTTCCTCATCTGTAATCAATCACAACAGGGTATGGAAGGTGGATCGTATCTGTATGTCATTTAATCTCTCCGGATCATATATAAGAAAAAGGAGGAAAGGAAGACGCCAGAGGATCACCACACAAAGACGTGGCCTTCTCGCAGCAGTGGAGCAAATTTAAAAGGAGGAAGAGCTCGTTTTTCTCCACTTGTTTTTAAGAATGTTTTGTTTTCACTCTGCGAGTCAGAAAAGCTGGACCTTGCAGTAATTTTAATTGCCCTTGCAGATCTCACGCAAAGCCTATGTTTTTTTTCTTCACTCTGCGTACTTGATATGAAAAAGGAAAAATCTGAATCAGACTGAAGTGCCTCCTTGTTAGAACGATCTCCCAGACAATGCCCACACAGACATCAGCACTTTGTTTATTCTCTGACTGTCATGCTCTGTTTGTTTCGCCAGGCAACACACACAAACACAAACACAAACACAAACACAAACACACACGCAGACTCACACACACACAGACTCACACAGTTTGCTGGAAATGAACTGAAGGGAAGGATAAATGATGGAGCGGAGAGGATCAATTAGAGGAATTCTCCTTCTTAATGTGATGTACAGAAGAGTGCTGAGTGCATGTGAAAGCCAGACCCACTGTGTCCTTCAAGTCCCAATAAACTCTGTGCTATTGTTTGAGTACTCCTCAGTAAGTCTGTCTCTTTATTTACCTGCCTCCTCTCTCCAGAGAAGGTTTCCTTGTCCATATTCAAATACATGGAAATAACTTAAGGAGATATTTTTACTACTCAAAAATATTAAAATATCAATGTATGGGGAACAGTAGACGTCTAAAACGTGACTCTTTCCAAATACGGAGCCAGATAAGTCTTAAAAATATTTTTCAATGCACACTAAAATATTTGTCTATTTTATTTATATGTAAAAAAATATAAGTAATATATTCATCATCAGTATCAATTCACAAATAAATTTCTGATGCATACACAAATATTTTTTGTTTTTATTGTTACAGTAATTTTAAATCCACAAATTTCCATCAAAACATTTTTAAATGCTGCAACATGTATTGGCAGAGAGAATCCTCTGTAGCCAATCAAATGTCTCCCTCATTTTGTACTGAATAATATTTGCTTCGAAGAGATTCATGTTAAGATAAATGTTAAACTATATTTGTGAAGCCCTCCTGTGTGCATTGATTCATATTGAGACTGATCCAGCTCCATACAATTAAGGCCATGAAGGCCCTTCATGACAGATTAATTCACTACAGGAAACAAAGATTTCCCTTGCAAGGAATCTAAATAAATGTGTGAACTGCAGTCTGAAACAAGACCCAGAAAAAGGGTGATATTCATCTTTCTCTACTGAACAAACCTTAGGTTCTTCAATTAAATGTTATATGCTACAAAGCATCTCAGTATCATAAAGTCAAGCAAACCCCTCAGATTTTTACGATTATAATACACATCAAATGATTTAATGGTCTGTAAATGTAAAAGCTACGTAGCCTACTTACAAATAGCCATTGCCTTTTCAAAGACTTTCTTACAGGAGATAAAGCCATTCCAGGATCAGAGAAATAGATGAGTGTAGCACATTAATGCAAAAAAAAGCTGCTTAGTCAACTAGGGAGTCATTAGAAATGATGACCCACTTTGGCTCACGATTTTATGTCTCAGAAAAAAAGACATTACAGTGCATGAGATGTGGGTATGTTGTCCATTCACTGTGCCTGAGTAATGGGTCAGTCAGATAGTAGGTCTGTGTGTTCTCATATATAATAAGAGAACTCAACTCGCAGAAGGCCAGAGCTCTGCAAGGTTGCAGGTTAAGGTAACTTGAGTATTTTTTTGGGAGTTATTCACCTCTTCCTGGTTTCTGTGAGCAATGTCCTGTTCACTAATCAGATGGCCCGCTGCTCTCTTTCCATGTGCAATGTTGACTCTGAAAGGACGTCTGACATGCAGCTCACTGAAGCAATATTGCTGTTAGATAGTTGGATTTTGCTTGGATGCAGTCAGAAAGGTTGTAAAAACATTTGATAAAACATGTTATTAACAGATCACAGTGTGCAGTTTGTCGATGAAGTAGACCTTTTGGAAAAACTACAGAGTATGACTCAATGTTACTGTCAAAAAAAGAGCCGAAGCAGAGTTATGGAGCTGATGTTTGGATGTTGGTATTATGAATTGTGATGTGTTTGACAGTTCTGACTGCAGTGGAAAAACTGACAAGGGTGCTTTTGAACAATATTATTAAACCCTCATTCGAGTAGTTTTGTTCAATCTTTACTTTAACTGCAAAGTCCTTTTTTTCCATCTGTCTTTTTGCATTATGACAACATATCCAAATGTGAAAGACATATAACATATCTAGTAAAGGGAATTTTTAAAACTAAGGAAATGACCAGCTCAGATGTTCTTAGTTCATAGGCTATCAAAAAGTCGTGTTTCCACTGGAAATGCTTGCAAACATAACACAGAGGATAACCCACCTGCATGCTCCAACAAAATGAAGTGTCCAAAATATGCAAAATCCCAAAATATAATGTTTCTATCCCCTCAGGATATTTTTCAACTTCTAACATCTTCCTTAACTCTGTTACTGTCTTCAGTTTTGTCTACAACTTTTTTGTCTCTTTACATTAACTTAACTTCCTCACTGCCTGTGGGAGTATATTGTTTTTCTTCTTACCTTTTTCAAAGCTGATTTGAGGGAAATACTGAACTGCCTGGTGACTCCTCTCTTAGACAAAAAACTGGACTGTGCAGTTTATCTGGCAGTGCTGAATTATTGTAATGACGCTTTAAAAACAAGTATGACCCTTTTTCATGTTTTCCGCAGAATACTCAGCAGGAACAGGATTCATATTCCTTTTGATTTCCAACAAGTAATTCCCTTACAAAGGAATGAACAATCTTTAAGTCTACATCCTCATGCGGTTTGTATTTGAGGTCAGTTTGACCACTTGTCACAACCCTTTGTAACTGTTGATATTGAGCAAATGTAAATCCATGTACCTATTACTGTAGGAAACTTCTTAAATATCATCGGATCAGTCAATGAATTATCAGTGCAAAACCATATTGAAAGCATAGCAGTGAAAACATGACTGTAGGAATTAAATTCTTCTTAATATAACGAAGATGTCAATCAAAAGAGGGGAGAAACCATCTCAAGGGAATTTATTGTTTTGCCCTCCTTGCTGTGACCATGGTGGGCTCGATGAGTCACTCAGGGTCTCTCCGCCTGACATCTCTGAAGGGCTCTGTCATCTTTGAACATCGCTATCATACGTGAACAAGTTTGTGTACATGTGTTTATTGTGTGTTTGTGTGTGTGTGTGTGTGTGTGCGTGTGTGTGTGTGTGTGCATGTGTGTGTGTGTGTGTGTGTGTGTGTGTGTGTGTGTGTGTGTGTGTGTGTGTGTGTGTGTGTGCATGTGTGTGTGTGCGTGTGCGTGTGCGTGTGTGCATGTGTGCGTGTGCGTGTGCGTGTGTGCGTGCGTGTGTGTGTGTGTGTGTGTGTGTGTGTGTGTAAGTGAGCAATTCAGTGGGCTTGGGCACTGCACGTTTTCTGACACAGTGTTTGTGGGAGTCTGAAACATCCTCGTCGTGTCCGCCAAGCAACCTTGGCAACATGGCCGTTGGATGAGTGAGGTGATGTGTGTGTTTATCTACAAGGTGATAACACGGCGGCCTTGTGAGCATTGCTCTTATATAGAGAGACACTTTCAGAAATCCTCAGACAGAAAGCCAAAGTCCTCTCCACAGCACTCACAGCTGTTCTTATCCACGTCTTCCAGAAAGATCTTCAGCTCTTACAGAATCTGAATATTTGTAATTGACTTGCTTTTACGGATATCTCGTTCTTTAAAAGCTATAAAACAAACTCCAAGAACAGAAAAATGCTGCCTGCAACCTTCAAACTGTGTGCTGGCATCTCCTACCGGCATATGAGGAACATGACAGGTGAGTGAGAGAGTCCTGTTTAGACTGATATTGAGCACTCTTGCCGTGGCCTACTTTTCTCCTTGGACAAAAAGGCACCTACTGTAGAAAAAGTTTTTCTTTTTTTTTTTTTTTTTACCTCATAAACTTTTTGTGCAATCATTGGATGTGTTGTCATAGTAAGTGTGTGCTTTCTGTCTCCCAGGTTTGAGGAAGAATGCGCTGGTGGCCATTCACCATGAGCTGAACAGACTTGCAGTCCCGGGCCCCAGTAACTGGATCAGCCAAGTCCGCAGACGTAGCTCCCTCCTCAGTAAGTTGTTGAAGAGGATCAATTGAGTCAAAGGGATGGAATAAAAAGTAGAAACACAGTTCACTTTTGACTTTTTGTCAATAACAATAAGAAGATGTGTTACTATTTTACTCACTGTGCTCCTTGTCTTAAGGCTCTCGAATTGAAGAAGAGAAGGGATATAGTGAGGAGGAGATTTCTTATGTGAAACAAGGTGAGGATGCACTGCAGAAAGCCATCAGCATCCTCAGTGAACAAAATGGCTGGACTATTGAGACTATGGCTGTGAGTATCAATACAAGACACATGCAAAAGAATCTTATTTTACTAAATTATAACTCATACGTTGGAGGTAATGTGACATTTCCATCATGTAACAACCACACTCATGCCCACAAAGTCTGCCTGGAACCTACTGTATGTGTCACGATCGATGACCGACAAACATTTAAGATTCACATGGCCTTGATTGCACGGTCATGTTGATCTGCATTGTACATCATTATCAGGAAGATCATACCTTACCTGTCAGAGCATGCCAGAAGGCTCCTGGTACTGGGTCTTCATGGATTGACTATTGCAACTCCTTACTGGCGGGTCTTCCTGCATGCACGATCAAATCTCTGCAGATGATCAAATACGCAGCAGCGAGGCTGGTTGTCTCTTGGCTGTTCATCTCCCTACGCTACACATCAAATTTAAAACTCTGATATGTGTATATATATCTTGATATATCTCCTGATATATCTTTGATATATGTCGCTTTGGCCAAAATAATTCAATTTTAAAAGAATTATTGTGCTATTTTATACCTGTTCTCAGGCAAATGGAGACAAAGTCCTGAGTAAGACATTGCCTGACATCGGGAAGGTATTCAAGCTGGAAGTTATGCTGGAGCAACATCCTGACAATCTTTACCAAGAGCTGGTGGGAAATATGGAGCAGATGGGCGAGTGGAACCCAAACGTCAAGCAGGTCAAGGTAAGAAAGACATGGCACCAGAAGTTTGACCCTACATAGTGATAACCTTAAGATCCTGCTTATGAACATTTCCGAGGGAGACATTTACAAGTAAACTGACAGAATTTCTCAATCGGATCCCACAGATTCTTCAAAAGATCGGCACAGACACAATGGTCACTCATGAGACGTCTGCAGAGACACCCGGCAATGTGGTGGGGCCCAGAGACTTTGTAAGTGTCCGCTGTGCCAAACGCCGGGGCTCCACTTGCTTCCTGGCAGGGATGTCCACTCAACACCCCAAAATGCCACAGCAGAGGGGGGTGGTCAGGTGAGACAAGAAAGGGAGTTAACAAAAGTGTTAATAAGTCATGTGTAGGATATTTGCATGAAGTTAAGAAAAGTGTCATTACCTAATTAACTTTTAACTTCTGTTGTTAATGTTTCAGAGCGGAGAATGGTCCTACCTGTATTGTAATGAAGCCCTGTGCTGAAGACCCAAATAAGACCAACTTCACCTGGCTGCTAAATATAGATCTAAAAGTAAATGACAGACCTTTCCAAATCATGAAGCAGAAATGGTTGAAAGAAACACATATATATAATCTAACAATGTCATTATCTTTGTATTGTGCAGGGCTGGATCCCAAAGACAATCATAAACAAAGTGCTCTCTCAGACACAGGTGGACTTTGCCAACCACCTCAGGCAAAGGATGGCTAATAATGTTTCCATGGAGATGGCTCATGCCTGCTGACACAAGATGCCTCTTGAGCTTTGACTCAACGGTGGCAGACGAGCAAACCCTGTCTGAGCAGGAAGGAGATCAGTTGAAAATGATGCTTGTCTGAGACTTTTGGAAAGTCTGTCATAAAATTGGCCAATGTGTTTTATTACCACTACAATCTTACTCATTGTGTTATCTGATCGTTTAATCCCTTAACTCGCAGACATGTTGAGTAAGTGCGAGCAGTAAAACATGCAACAATCTGCACATTGTTTTCTTCTGATAAACTCCCAATTTCCCCCTCCCTCTGTGAAATTGCACTTTTATTTCTGTGTTGTATTTATTGATGTCACACACCCATGCATTGAATTACAATGACTGTCAAGTGAAAGATGATTGTCATTTATATTTATGTCTTTATGAATTTATTGTTCTGTTGGACAGGTATAGTTTTAAATAACAATTCTATCTCTTTCCTGATACATGAGAGAAAAATAAAAGCTTATAATACAACCATCATGTTTGACTTAATCCAAACAGACTTCACATAGGCTATATATATATATTTATATATATATATATATATAAAAATAGCCCTTCAAAATGAAAAAACTGAACAAGAAAAGCTCAAACTTAACTTGGAAAATACACACTGTTTCCCAATCATCATGGAGGAGGGGAGGGAAGAATTTAAGGGTTTCTTTTTAAAACCATGAAAGATGTCGTTCATAAAAAATGTCTTCCTCCTCCTTGATGGGTTTTCAGACTGACAGTTTGCCAGAACAAGCAGGTGTTTGGCCGTTCAGACGTGTGAGGAGCCCAGAAGTGAGTGAAGCGGTTCGTTGTGAGCCAGCAGCACATTCCCTGAGATCAAGTCAAGATGTACTCCATCCCACAAACAGGAAATCTGTCCACCATTATAAAGAATTGTGTAACATTTTTCCTATCTTGTTTTAATTGATCCAAAAGCTTTTGTAACAGCTCATGTTCTTGGATGAAGTACAGTTTTCACTTTTTGTTTCATATAGGTTCAATAGGCTGAAAGATTCCCTTCAGCACAACTGCAGTATTACATAATAACACACCTATAGGACCTACAAAAAAGTTTTGGAGGGAAACAAGAAGCAGAGATCTGCACTCTAAATAAAACAAACTTAAGCAGAATAGTTCTTAGTGCTGGTTTGTGTAACGCAAAACAAACATTTTTCCTCCTTGAAAGAATGTTCTAGTTGGTAATAATTGACATCTGCTTTAAATCCCTCAAAATCTGAACATAAGCAGATGTGAGGAGGGTTGTAGCCACTTGGAGATTTAGTTTCATTATTTGTCTAAAGTGAAGAAATGTTAGGGTTAGGACAGGGGAAATTATCCAGGAAGACAAAACAAACTATCTAGCAGTCATACTGAATCCCTGGCACAGACGAGAGACTTAATTTAATGTGTTTTTATTTTTTCCATTCAATATCCACCCGTGTGTCCTTGAGTAAAATTAAACTCCAAACATCAGCCTATTTACTTTCAGTGAGAAATGTAGGCAAATGTTGCACTTAATAGGGCCCACCAAAAAAAATGTCAGAGCCCAAATACAAACGTTATACAGGCTTTTCATGTTTTTAATGATCTGGTTTGGATAACAAAAAAAACAACATTAAAGCTCTTCTGACTTCTGAGAAAAGAAGACTGTCTGTGCTGTTGGGAATTATAGATAGAAAAAGAGGTCAACGCTGTCTCCCTGCTCCCTGCGCCTACAATATCTGAATGCAATGACGTAATGAAGCTAGGGTTCTGACAGGAAACCACAATTCCCAAGATGCACTGGAATTTACAGTGGCCACTGGACGGGGGAAGGGAAGCTGAGATTGGAGGGAGAAATAGTCAGAAACTGAGGTACTTTTTGAAATGCTTCATATCGTATAATATTGTTGGACAAGCCCCAGCACGCAATGTTTTGTAGCGTTTTTATTCACCCGTAATGACAAAAGCAGATTAATCCGTGTGGAGCTTTCGGATTTGGGCACCGACTCCATCCCCGTTACAGCTCCACAGAGCTACTGCTAGCCCCTTTAGTTAGCCTGACAGCTGGCTTTTCTTCTGCTGGCTTGGTCTTAACTCTTTAATTGCTTACGATACTTGTGACATCAATACTTTATGTGTTTGTGGTGCATTTGGGCTGGCTTGCATGTAATGTGCGTGGACGTGACGTTCTGGGTTTGAAGAGAAGCTGGAGCTGCGTCTTTGTGCCTGCGGGGTTGCTAGCTGACAGACTGCTAGCTTGTTGGTTGCTACAGAGACTGTTGTCTAGCTGTGTCAGAGCGGAAACCTGTCATCTCGTAAAGATGGACTTTTTGTAACATAGTCTTAATATTTGAGTTGTTCTCTGTTATTCCCGAGTTTAACTGTCTAATTTGATGAAGTTTGAAGACATTTAGCTTTGTTTTGCTGTGATTTACTTGGGTTAAAGTAGCCTACTAAGGTAAATATCTTTATAACAAGTTAAAGTCATAAAGTGTTTTTTTATGTGACAGTAAAATAAATAATAATAAATATAAGTATTGTTATAATATATGCCGTATTTTATTGTGTTATTAAATAGGAATGAATATATTTTAAGCATTTTATTTTTAGATCTCGTTTCTTTTGTGTATTCTTTTTAATTTCTTTTAACTAAAAAGATTTTAAAAAAAACTGCATAAATTCAATATATCTTATTCTTATGTATAATACATGTTGATTTCAGACTGGGTTTGCTTTAAAAAAATAAAAGTGATGGTGTAAAAATTAAATTATAATGTATTTAAATTGTAAATTAGTATTATTCAAATTAAGGAACAACACTTGTATATTCATCTTTCTAATAATTCTGTAATCTACAATTTAGTTTGTTCTGCAACAACATGCAACAAAACTGACACAAGGTTTCATATTTGGCAGTGGAGCTAAAAGCTGTATTTCTCTAAATAAACTTTGACATGTTTAACAACATTTTGCACCACAGTGACAAACATCTTTTTTTAACTGTGTAGTTTAACAATTGCTTTTTCTTCTTCTTGTTTTTAGATACATATGACAGCCCCTCCTCAGGACTCTGGCCATACAAGAACTCTATCCATGACCCATGATCTTATTGTACACCTGCACTTCTTGCTTTGGACGTGTGTTACTGTTTCATGTGAAGCTGAAGACATAACAAAGCTTTGGTGCAAGTAAATTAAACTGCAACTGTGCTGGATTTGTCTTGAGTGCCAAAGTAATGATTTGTCTCGTACAAGGAGAGCCGAGCCCTGAGAAGCAATGTCATTGTGCGGCTTCCGTGCATCTCTAATGGGGCTGAGGAGTGAACTCAACAGCCAAGCAGATCTGTGGAGGAGAGGAAGGAGGCAGGTTTCCAGCAAGCTTGTGTGTTGATGGATAGTCGTTTACTGATTTCAACTGTTGTAGACTGATACCTGCACATAAACTCAAGGTTTGACTTTTGAGCAGCTTTAAAACTGGGCTGCCATCAAATTCACAGAATCATCGCTATTGTCCCAAAAAAGAAAAGATGGTTTGTAAGAGGAGCCCCAGTGACAGATTAGAAAAATCCTACTTGTGACTGTGGACGTGGATTTCTCTGTTTATATGAGGAGAGAAGCAAGGAGACTTACAGTCACTCAAAATGTGCTCTACAGACACCATGGTGGCCCTTGCATCAGCTCCTCAGCCCATCTCAGTTTGTGACTACAGAAGCCTTTAGAGGCCAGGATCAGGAACACACTTGCCAGCCAACACCCTCATATGCAATGGAAGAAGACATTGATGTCACAGCCCACACTGAGGTAACACTAGTTCCCCTTTGGCCTTTTAAGTTTCTAATTGGTAATCTCATTTCAGTGTTTTGGTTTACAGCTATCTAACACCATTAAAACAAAGTAACCCCTGCTGTGTGCTTCAGTAAAATGAGACTCGGTGCTGTCTCACCATATTGATGATAACTTTTCCATTCCTGTTTCACTCTGTAGTACAATATTAAACATTTAAACACTCCTTTGTTTAAGCAGTTCTAGCACATGTGTTTAATTTAGGGCCTAAGGTCAACCGTGCTGCCTCTGCTTTAGCTGTAATCTCTGCTCTGACTTGCTTGGGAAGTTGCCATGGTGGCAGCTGACAGGGCACTTCCCTTATCCCCGGCTTGGTTCTCTAGCCGCAACATTACTTCTTCTCCCTGGCCTTTAGCCTTGTGTTTTGCTGCTTTTGTAAACAGTTGGATAAGTATGTCCCCTTTCCTGGCTAGATGCAACCTAACATGACAGTGATAGTTTCAGTCTTATGTGTGCCAACACAGGAAGCATCTGAATAAGTAAGAAGTTAGTGTTTTCCAAGGCTGCAACTTTAGAGACAGCTGAGTTTTTCTTTTTCTTTTTAGTTGGATTTTAACAAGTTTTAAACAGAACTAATTAAAAAAAAAAGATTATGACACGCAATCATCTTGAAAGAAGTAAAAGCTTCAGTGTTTTACATCCTGTACGTACCTGAAGCATGTGCTCTATGTCTGCTCTCCTTTTAGGGCCTGAACGGTTTGTCCCATGAATGTAAACCATTAGAAGTAATCACCAATGGACACTCTAACCATAAGCCTGTGAGTATAGATAAAAATATATAAATAAATTATATATATATATAAATATATAGATAAAAATAAACTATTTTTATCCTGACCAGTGTTTTGTTTTGATATTGCTTCTTTAAACGTTTTATATCTAAGGTCATGAATGGACTGATAACAAGTCATGATGTCAAAGACCACACCAATGGCAGTGCACCACTCAGATCCCTGCCGGTAATTTGATTTATTTCTTTGTGTCTTACTTCAGCAAACATTTCACTTCTTGAATTATATTCAATAATATAATTATTTGCTGATTGTCCAGATTTCAGTGCTGAAGCAGAGCTGTCTCCTGCAGACCCTGGCAGCTGGAGGGGACCAGCCTAAGCCTGAAGGTAACAAACACATACTGTCACACAACCTCTCATTTGTCTCACATCCTCTTCCCACAGGAGTTTGTAGTTGTATCTTAGATACCAGGGAGGTGTTAGAGATAAAAAGAAATCTCCCTCAGGAGTTCAGGTTGCATGCGTAGATGATGCACAGGGTCTCCCTCAGGAGTTCAGGTTGCATGCTTAGATGATGCACAGGGTCTCCCTCAGGAGTTCAGGTTGCATGCGTAGATGATGCACAGGGTCTCCCTCAGGAGTTCAGGTTGCCTGCTTGGAGGATGCACAGGGTCTCAGCACAGAGTGATGTAGGTCTGTTAGACAGGAATTTATAACTAGCGATGAACAGAATGGGTATCTTTCATTGTACCGTGATTTGTACCACCAAGATTTGTATTTTTTTTTTAACGTATCTTCACAGAGGAAGATGAGGATTTGGAAAAGGCCAGGCAGGAGTGGGACGCTCTGGAGAACGTTCAACAAGGTGAGATGCATCTCACTGTTTCACCTATCTGCGTCGAAATGATTATTTGATCTTTTGTCCAAGTGTTTGACCTTTTTTGTAATATCGTCCAGCTCTCAGTGAGGATTCAAACCCGACCCCACTCATTTCCTTCAATGAAGCCCTGCAGTTCTTTCAGACCACAGACCTTGGGGACTTGCTGGTAAGGAATTTAGCATGCCGTTAATTTTTATATCAATGCTAATATCATATCAGAGCAGAGTGAGAGGTTTGTTTGTTAAGAAATGGGTCCTAATTTTGTCTCATATGGGGACTTTTTAACCACTGAAAATGAGAGAGATTGGCAAGGACTCTGCTTCAGCATTGTATTGTGAAACAGATGCAGGATGTTATGTTGGGTCATTTGTCAATTAAGTAAAATTAAAAAAACAAACTAAAGAATGTGTTTGACAGAGGGACATTGTTAATCCACAGTGGCTTCTAAGTGCATGAAAAAGACTTTGTAAAAGCATCATCAGGTCCTAATGCTAAATCCAAACAAAAACATAAATATTATTGTAGAACTACAGTAATTGCAGTTATAATGTGTACTCATTATTATATAATTATTCAATCAGATTTTAGATTTCTAGTGGATTTGCTTTATAATTGTATTGTTTGCTAGTCTATCTTTTTCATCCCCATCTCCATCTGTAGAAGAACATCCAGCCAACCATTCGCAGGACCGGTCTGGCTGCCATCACACACTTTCTGTTCGGACCTCCTCGGCTGCACAGAGAGCTCCTGGAGGAGAGGGATCTGGTTTTTGCCATTGCACAGTGTGAGTGTTAGTTTGCTGGGCCTGTTAATGTAATCACAGATGTAAAGCTCACCAGTGTTTCGAAAAGAAGAAAAAAAACATTGATTTTTTTAACGTTGTCTTTTCTGTGTCTGAATTGTATAGGCCATGTGGACAACAGCCAAACAGTCCACATGCGTGTCCTCCAGACCATTTATAAGAGGCTGATTGGCAGCAGGCTGGACTGTCCTCGCTATGGGGCGCACTGGGAGAACATCGGCTTTCAGGGTAAGACACCTTTTTGCTGTCTTTGCAAAACAGCTCATGATTGGTTTCTCCAAATAAATACAGGAATTAATAGAGCACGATAAATGTTCCTCAAGCCCGATTATTGCCATAGTTAAATCAAAATAATTACACTAGAAAAGAATACCTGTTTCAAGAATTTTTGAGAGTATTGCAAGAAGAAGGATGAACTCTGAACTCGTTGCACTGATTTTTCTATTCTGCAGGTACAGATCCAGCCACTGATCTACGTGGCACTGGTTTCCTGGGACTGATGCACACTCTCTACTTCGTGATGGACCCAGAAACTCTACCGCTGGCTAGAGACATCTACAAGTTATCACAACACCCAACACAGGTTTGAATGAGTCATGAAAGAGCAAACATGTGCATGCACGCTTGTGTGAAATTTTTTGGAGATGTATTTTATAGTTTATAGTCGGTTTGGACAACCGAGTCGAGGCTCAGATTTCACTGATCCTTCAAAGAGAAACTGAAGCCCCTCCCTCTCCAGGCATGCTGCTTTCTAGCTGACCTTGACCTCTGTCCTCCCCGCAGACGGAGCTATGTCAAAAACAAAATGTACCCCCAGGGATTAATAAAGTTGCTACTAGACACGCATGTTTCAGGACGTGTTCTTGTAGTCTTTGTAAGTACTATTCTTGAACCTTAATTTTCTCATGTTTTTTCACTACTTTAGAACTTTCCATTCAGTGTGATGTCCATCAACATGACCCGCATCGCTCTACAAGTACTCAGAGAGGAAGCCCTGTCCAAGTGAGTCACTGATGCACATTTTCTTGAGGTTTCATTTTTAACGTTTCTTCTGCTAACACTCCCCTCTGTCTTCGGTTAAACCAGGGAGTGCAATCGTCGTCAGCAAGTGGTCGGTGTGCTTAATGAGTTCTACGTTGCCACGTATCTGCACCTGTACCAACTGTGGAAGACCCAAAATAAGACCATTGTTGACTCTGGCTTTGTACTAAAAGGTAAAGAAATTCCTCATATCTTGTATGATTTCTAAGCTATTGAAGGTAAAAGTATCCGCCTACAAAAATAAATAATAAGTAAAAACGACACTGCACGTTGCCAAATAAGAGCCCTGCCATTAACTTGTGGTAAATTCAAGTAAATTTTACACACCTGTTTTTGTACAGATAAATGATGAGATGCAGTGCAAACTGTTTGTTCCTGGGACTTTGAAGAAGGTTTTATCATCATAGTAAGCTGTTTCCTGTCAGATCTAGAATCAGAATTAGGTTTACTGCCAAGTTCATGTACACATACAAGGAATTTGACTTTGTGTGTTTGTTCAAAACCATTAACATAGAAGTCAGCTTGGGACGCGATGTAACCTCAATCACCCCCCACAACTACAACAAGCCCACCCCAATAACCCACTACTAATCCTTAGACCGATAAAGTGCCCAAACTCAGTAAATATTGAAGGGGCAGTCCTGCATCACCAGCAGAACCTCTTTCAAAAACTGTTATTGGACTGCACACTAACAACCTAATGTAATATTTGCATATGTGCACACTTTTTGTACCATGCAACACCTGCTGCTATTCAGAAGTTGCTTTTCACAACTTTGATCCATTCCATCCTTGTAATTTATGTGTCATTTATTCACTATTTATTAGTTGTTGTTTTTTGTTACCATTATTGCAGGGACGCCACTCAGAACAAGATTTGTTGTACTTTTTATAATGAAAATAACGTTTATTCTATTCTATTCTTTTCTTAGATACGCTAACCTGGTGCTTGCTTTGGCTTCAAATTTAACAGATAGATGTGAGGATTGTCATCGATCCCAGAGCAAGAAAATTTATTTTCTAAAAAGTCACAGACTTGCTTCAATACATGAGTCACTGGTCTTTGCGTTTGACTCAACAGTCGGATTACAGAAACAGACTTAAAAACAGATTGTCCTCTCGGCATGTGTCCCACATTTTCTGTGTATTCTGACCCTTCAGAAGTGGAGCTGTTTGCCAAAAAGAACCCCAAGCAGATGCTACGCCGACTAGAGGTCTTCCTGAAAGAGAAGCGGGCAGGTGGAATCCCACGTGGGACGTCGCCAGACCCTCAAGCCCAGCAGTCCTCTCCCAGCCTGGGGGAACGAGGGGCCAGAGCTGGGACTGGAAGCAAGGGAAAGGAGATGCACTTCATAGGAGTGTGTGATCTACCGCCAGACATGGAGGGAGAGGCCAGACTCATCTAAGCTAGACTCTTGTATGAGTGTGAATGTGTGTGTGCTAGCAATCCCGTTTGTGAGTATATCTATTACAGTATGTGCGTGTGGCTTACTCTCAGAGAACTAGAACCCCATCAGACCCTGATCCAGGACCTGCTATTTGAACCCATTCAAACACTTCCGCTCCTTCCGCTGATGCTGGGGTGCTGCACTTTGATCAGATTAATCTTAGGGGTCTCTCAGAGTTATATAAGATTTTTTTTTGTTATTCAATGATTTTTTTAAAAATAGAAAATAAAGACCAGATATATATAAAGAGGTTATGCAGGTCAGAAACACAAGATGTCACAAAAACAGCAAGAAAGTGAATGTTTGCACTTTTCTGTGGATTTAGTAGCCAAATCAATTGCTGCCAAATTCTTGTGGTTAAACTTTACCTGCCTAGAAGTCCAAAACATACACACTCTTGTCCCTATGATCTCTCTGTCAGGGTATGTCAGGGTTATAGAAGTGGGAGCATGGCTTGTCCTCTCCTCCTGAGATACAGTTCTTTTATGTGAGAGTGCTAGCGGCTAATAAATGCAAGCTAAGGGCTGCCTTGTCAGACCTCTTGTTAAACGCTCTGTTGATGAGAGAGATATGAACCAGGTTGAAGCTACACAGAAGCAGATTGTCCCTCAGCATGAATAAAAAGCTGCAGATAGAAAACCCTCTGCGAGTGCTGAATATTTTTAGCGCGGTTAAAATTTGCTCATAGAGGCTGTTCTTAAATGTATCAAACAGAAGACTTTAAATGCAGCTTTCTTTGAAGGTCCAATCTCTTGGATTATTCTTTAGATCTTGAATGAAATATAATTTATGTGAAAGATGAATGGGCACTCAGTCCCGATGTGTGGAAGTGTATCCCAAGTGTTGGTGTACCCTTGGTGTCTGATAGATTAGGTGCAGAGCTCCCATGTGATATGGGGGATTATATTTTAAATAATTAAATAAAAATTATTCAGTCTTTTCTGAAGGGGACAGATGTAGTATGCTAATTGATGGATGCCTGGGAGGTGAATTATTACAAAATCACCTCTGAAAATCCTCCATAACTTTTGTCACGTTTAGAGCTGCAGAGACACTTTCAGATCAAAGAGTGTGTATTTGGTTTGGTCCCAGCTAAAGTCTAAGATCTGGTATGAGCTTCCTCTACATTCCGTTATAAAGCATGTGATTGTAATTTCTTTTGACCAGTTCAAAATTTATTCCAGTGTGTGTGTTTGTGTGAAATGAAATGAATGAGCTGGTATTGATGAAGGGTGCCTCTCCTCGGAGATGTATGGTACAGTATGCAATCCCAGCTCCGACTCAATGATAATCAAACGATAGTGCTGTGTGACGATAGAAATCGTTCCTTACTTCAGGGTTTGTGCGCGTGTGCAAGTGAATGTGTTTGTGTGTGAGTGTGTGTGTGCGTGCGTGCGTGTGTGTGTGTGTGTGACAGGAACTGACTACAGATGGGGTGTTTTCCTCTGCACACAATAAGCCAGCTTTACTAAGTACTTGATCCATCAAGCTGCACAGGCGGTACTTCAGTTATTTTAAAAATGGTACATAACATTTCTGAAGGAAAATATTCTTTGGTTTGCTTTAAACAAAAAAAAAAACATACAGCTGGTTTCAGAATGGGTAGAGCTCCTCAGCAAAGCTGGTTCCTGCTCTGTGCTAATGTGAAACTGTCTCCCATCGTCGTAGTCTCAATCCGTAGCATGTTCAGGTAGCACTAGTACTGTAGCATCTTATAGCCTCCTCCTCTTCGTAAAGCTTGTTGATGTCATGTCTCAGTTACAGTCCGTAGTGTCGATGAGCGCGCAAACTGTTATTGCTATAGCACATTTGTTTCCTATTTGCATTAAGTCTCCTTCAGTAGATACACTTGGGGTGGCGCAGCGTATGTTCTGGAGAGATGTGGGACAGGCTTGAAATGTTTTGATTGAGCTCAGTTTGTCTTCTAAGAAGGTACAAGTGAAAAAGGTGCCTACATCCAGTGGAGCCATATTGAAGGAGAGTGCTGGTTGCTTCCTTTTTTTTTTTTTTCTCTTCTATTTGAGCCACCGTGCCACATTCAACTCCCTCCATTCATGTAACGCAGTAAAGATAGTTGATGTGACCCTTAAAACATGCAGGCCTCATTGATATATACATACAAATACAAACACCCAGGCATGTACATTTTCTGTGATTGCATCTATTCAAACAGTTGTACTCTGCCATCTCCTGTCTCCACCATTACTTCAAAAACGAGCTGGTGTAGTTTAGCCGATTGTTTGCAAGTGTTTTGACTGAACAGAAAAATTTGCACTGTTGTAGATATTTGATAGTATGTGTGATGTGTGCAAGAGGAAACAGGCCATCTTCAATAGCCATAATGTTCATGAACCCCCGCGTCATCAACCAGGCTTCATTAAGTCCCCTCCAGGCTCTTAAAACAAGTTGCACCACAAATATGATCTCACCTTTAGTTTTGTTAAATTTTAAACTGAGGAGCAGTACAGTGTATGTAAATCAGGAAGTTTGTATATAGAGATTTAATGATTGTAACTGTATGATTGTCTGTAGGGCATTATACTGAAACATTGCTTACCTCAAGACTTGAGACAAATCTCTTCTTTCTCTCTCTCCTCTCAGACTCTTTTTATGTTTCCCTCTACCTAGGCCTTCTCTCATACTAATTGGACAAGTTATATAATGTATATCCAACACCTGAAGCACTATGTAAAAGCAAACTAACACAAAAAGCTGGTCAATGTTACGTGTATTCTATTTAAAGACACATTTATAGATTCTATATAGGCCCACTCACGCTCTGATGATGCACATCTGCAGATGAAAAATGTCCTTTTTAAAATGATCCGTAATTGGCTAATGTTTGAAATAAGCTGATTTTCTTGTGGCTTCAGTGATGGTACAGTATACTTTAGCTGTGTTTAAGTGTTTGATGTCCAGGAAAACACTCAGAAACAATCCAATCTTTACAGCTACAGGCACAAATAAACGGTTGAATATATGATTGTAAAGACATAGGCTTGATTAGCAGTCATAAGCTGTGTATGCTTTGATCTTGATATTTATTGGATATCCAAACAAGGCCTGATTTGTCCTCTCATATTACGTAAAAACTCGTATTTTTTGCAGATTGAATAGATCATATTCTAATGTGTTGGTCATCATTTAGAAATCTCCTCAGTTGTGAAACCAGAACCAAGTTTAAAAAAAAAAAAAAAAAAAAAGGACGGGTTCTTGCAGGATGTCGGATGCTCTGAGAGGTGTGGTGTGTAGATCAGCAGCTCGGCAAATACAATCACTTCTCAAGATCCTGCGCTTTATATGAAGGTGTTTTACTGTTGCCGTTGTCGTCAAGTCCCTCAGAGCATTTTATGACTGTACCTTGATTGTAGAAGCCCTATTTTATACTGAGAGTAATTTCAGAATACAGTATGTGCTGTTGTACATTAAATGTATTGTATGGAGAAAGCTAAATAAATGCTGTTTAAAAACGAATGGATCTTTTCTCTGGAGTTACTGAACACTCTATAATAATTGTGCTGATGATTTTAGAACTGTATAACATTTTCATGTGATCTTTACACTTTTGATCACAAAGACAACTTGTGTGGATTGATGTTGATGGAACTGAAACTTCCCCAGACGATACTTCTGTTGTACTATTCAATATTATCTTGAGCTGCAGTTTTTAGGGCAGGAACTAAACTAACTTTTCTAACCGTAGCTTACCTAGCAGATATTTTGTTCCCATTGAAAGATGTTTCATTTTTGGTTTTAAAATGTCCAAAAAAGAAACGATACAAAAATCCAGTTCTTAGAGCCGGATAAGAACGAATGAGAGTTGGCAGAAATCTTCGCAAGCGGGTAAATATTTTACATTCCTTCCAGACTAAACAAATAAAATAGTGTTAAACTTCCATTAACTTAACATGGTTCAGCTGTGAGTGATTCCTTGTACTTGCACTGTGGGCCAATGCATCAATAGTACATTCAGATATCAAGTGCTTTGTATGAATACTGACATTTAAAAACTCATTCAGAAAGATGTTTTGAATATTTCTTCTTTGCAATGGACCTGAAGTTTTCTTGTAGTTTTTCTGTAATGCAGCCACTAGAGTGCACACTTTGACAAATATGAAACTAAAAGGGCCAAGGCTATAAGAAGCCTTGTTTAAGTGTACAGGTGCAATGAAAATTCCAAAAAGACACGCACGCCCCTCAGTGGGTGCTGGATCCAAAAACATGAATAGGTAAGGAAAGCAAAACAAGATCTGCACACCACAAAAATCCCGTTTGAAGGATTTACTAAGTGACATTTTGAGCATGAAGTGTACAGGTGATACATTATTTATAGGGTAGTTCATATATTTAAGTATTGCAAAATATCATTAAGTCAGATACTTCTAGTCTGTTGAGTAAAATGTTAGACTTCCAACTATTTATTTTGATCAGTCTTCAAATCACTTTGAGATTACTTCTTTGAAATTCAAATCTAATATTTATTTATTCATTATTTGGTTGTTTAGTTTTATGTGAACCTCAAAAGTTCCTGTGATCCTTCATCATTTGGCCCGAGAACTTATATTGGCAAGCTGTGTAGACACTCTTGAAAGTCTCAGTAGTGGTTCAAGGCTCCTCAGTCTGCTGCATCTTTTATCAGGGACACATAGAAGTCATTCAACATAAGTCTGATTCTCCTAACTTGCATTGCTATAATACAGGTCAACTGTGGTGCAATGATGAAATGTGTTTACGGTAATCAGAGAAAGAGGGATTTTGGTGCTGGGTCAATAAAGTTAGGATGCTTCCAAAGGAATCTTGGCGCTGCATGTTTCTACATCTGTGCTCAATCAGACGTGTGGCTCCGGTCCCACAATGCCAGATGACTGAGTTGTGGTGGACCTGTTGAATCATAGCACACACATACAGGATGGAAACAATATTTTTGCCAATCCTTTATCACTAATCTGAATCTGAAATTGCAGCACCAAGAGCAGTTTTTCATACCTGCTAATACTGTGCTCTGCTGTCTGCGCTATTAACTGCATTCTTAAATGTGCTAGTAGTTTAAGTTGAGTGCAAGGACAAATACAGGTCTGGTCTTCTATCAATACCATTCAGGGGCCAATAAAAGTGTTCATAATGTTATTTACAGACATCAGTTCTGTATCTAATACCCTGCTTGACTGCTTATGCGTCCACATGCCCAGTATGAGAGAAGTAGAAAAGGGCAGGATGGAGTTATACAATTCTGTTTCCATTTGTACCTAGTGAGCCTGCTGGAATACAGCAGTTTTCTCACTCTGTCTCTCCTTCCCTCCCCCAACTCTCCGTCTCTCTTTCTATCTGATGTCATTGTTTCCTCCTCCGTAGATGCTGACGCTCAGCTCAAGGCTGTTTGCTCACAGTCCAAACTTAATCTGACTAATAGGAATTTAAAGACACTTATAAAAGGGATGTCAGATTCACTAAAATCCAAGTCTGCAGTGTGCTTTATCTTGTATGCATTACAATTAAACTAAAGTATGTGTTAGTGCTGAGTGTGGTCTACACAGTTAAATTATAGTGTACAAAACAGCAACACCAAGCTATAAAGAAAGATATTACACATACATCAATCCATTAAACATTCAAATGAAGTAAAAAATGACATCCTCTTAACTGTGAAAAGTATTAGAAATCTAACTTAAATGGAAGTACTTATATCCAAGCCATATCGCCAGTATTATGACTATTGTGCTGAAATATATAGGCCTAAAGATACTTTAAAAATGAAGACGAAACATAAGATATAATTGCTTTCTTGATAGAAAGTGTAACATTCAACTACCTATAATAAGTAATGATAAACGTCAGCATAATCAAAAAATGCACACATTACAAATTAAAATAGGCTTCGTAGTAGTTTACTTTTTTAAATAACTTGTAGCAACATGTTTAATAATGATTTTCTTACTTTTCCCCAAGAATATAATTTAAATACTTCAGCCAACACAGTTTGCATCATTACTGAGGCAAACAAGACAGTGTAACTTTTAAAATAAGAAGATATAAAGTTAAAGGTTGACTTATAACCAGTGGGACAAAACATACCATTGGCTCTCTCTAGTGCGATAATTACCTTAGCCTTTGTTAAGCTAACGTTAGCTAGCTAATGTTAACGAGCCTTTGCTGAGGATTTCTTGAGCACTCTCTAGCATTTATGATAAATTACTCTTAATATTATATCCTTATTGCAACGTTTATATATTATTAGGATACCTTTAAAAGCTAGCCACTTTGGGCCACAAGGTACATTAAAACAAGCTCGCTTAAGGGCTACGTAGAAGCTAAACTACTTTTTCTTGTGAAAAGTAAACTACTAAGCAAACTAAACATAGATAAAAATGATGTGCATTTTCTGTATTTCAAAGGTTAAAACTCCTATTTTGAAGTGGCCTATGCGGTCGAAGGAATGTTTTGTATTGGAAAGCTTTATCTCCACAATGAAGGTCTCCATTGATAAGGTGAACAAACCAATCAAATAAGTTTCTACAGCTGTCAAGTCAATGAGGAAATTCACCTTTTTTTCAGTGAAATGCGGTAACGCATAAGAATGTCATGACAACAACAAAAATGAATGCAATTTCAAAGAAGCCTACTTTCCTGTGTTATAGAGGGTGGATCCCCTGAGTTTAGAGACCCTTTCCCTTCCATTATACAAATAAGCTTATATCTATAAATAAGATAAAATCCATGTTTTATAATTACATAATTGTTCACATTATTTTCCGTTCTTCTGGCTTTTATCAATGAAGGCCCATGGGTAGAGATTCCTGTCTGTACTTTGGAACAGGCTGGAACAGAAAAGAAAAAGAAGTTTCCAGAGAGCTCCCCTGTGTGTGTGTGTGTCTGTATCCTTGCCAGTTGAAAAGGCCTCTGCTTGACCTTACTGTAGTCTGAATTATCTGCTGCATACTTTGCAGCCTTAGTCATACCCTGCAGCGATTTAATTGCTTGTTGCAATGACGTTTTCTTACAATTAAATTCTCCACAGTGTTTCTTTAAATGCAATATTGAAATACAAGCCTGTGATATATGAACTGAACTGTTTAGCGGGTGTGTTCATTTGTATTTACCTTCTACTGTTTTCACCTGAAAACTTGCTCAGTTTGAAACCAATTCTGTGCCAATTTTCCTCTAGCTGCACAATGTTCTGATTACTCGGCTTTATGTACACATACGGCCTTTCTGGACAATAATGTGTCATAGGTAACTGTTGGTGAAGATTTTGGGAATCCTAGGCAGCATACACTTCCCCTGTGTTGATTGCATGTTTGCATATTATGCACCGCAGGATCACTTCCTATAAACTCCTATTTTAATGAATATGTTAACAGTTTAAAATTTGTCAAAGCTAAAAATGTAGTCATGTCTGTCACCATCTTGACTCTGAAATATACTACAAGTCTAGCATTTGAAGGCCTTGACAGGATCTGCAAACACAGAGGAGGAGTAAGATGATGGGGGGTGCAAAGAAAACACTGAATTTAAAAGGTTATAATTCTGTCATCTGCTGAAACAATTCTCCTGGTGTGTGTGTGTGCGCGCGCGCGTGCGTGCGTGTGTGTGTGTGTGTACTCCTCCATGGCCCCCAGTCTCTGCCATAACCTTTTCTCCAGAAAGCGGAATGAGAGCTTTCACAACACAATGAGGAAAGAACGACAGAGCAGAAAGATCAATTCCCAACTAAAACAAATCCTGGACTGAAAGCAGATGTATGTTCTTCTCCTGAATGTTTTCATTCTATTTATATTCCTCCCTCTGATGATAAGCAGTGTTTGGTTTTGTTAACACACACAAAATCCTTATCCACCCTTGTAGCCTCTTTCTCCTCCTCCTCCTCCTCCTCTTGTTGTGGAATTCAGGGTCCTTGGAGTGACTCCTCTCTCCTGCTGTTCCTCTCTGCAGTGGGTCTGCAGGGTGAAGGCTCTCCAGCAAGGAATTCAACAGGAACCTCATACAAAATAGGAGCTGTCTTCTTTCTAAGGGGGTGCAAGCCCTTGAGTCTGAGGCCTCACCTGCCCTCCTGCCCACCCCCACCACCACCCCACCCCCACCTCCTGTCTGAGCCCTGCACCTGTTGTGACTCGTCGGCCAGGTGAAGGGGATCCTCTGGCCTTACTGTGTTGTTTCAGCTGACCCTTGCTGCAGGGCAATTAGAAACCCAGTCTACTCATTAGACTGGATTGCTGCTTTCCTCTATCTCCCTCTGTCTCTCTCAAACCCACCTCCCTGCCTAACCCGCAGATCCCTACCCCCCTCCCACTCCATCTCCGTCTAGCCCACTCTGAGCCTGCTTGTCACTGTGGCTGTGGAGCTGCAGAAGTTTCCTTGCTGGAGTAAAAGTGTGGATCACATTGCAAGAGAAGGAAGAAAAGGAATTTTCTGGTGGAAAGACAAAGTTGGACTGAGCTTTGGAAGGCTGAATTGAAAGGATTGTGCAGTTGGACGAGAAGCAGGTATGAAAAGCCAGACTGTGGTTGTGTCTGTGGCTCTGCTGGCCCTGTGCTGCCTGCTGATCCCCAGAGAAGGGGAGAGCGCAGGGGGGATATTTACTCTCCGGGTGACTGAAGGGGAGAGGCAGGCAGCGGATCAGCTACAAGACGAGTCCCTTGATGACCCAGAAAGTGAGCAACATGGACTCACAGTGGACCCACATCCACTGGGAACGAGTAAAAAGGACAAAAGAGACACAAAGGAGGCTGCACAGGCAGGTGAGTTTAGAATCGTCATTTTGTGTCTAAGAAAACAAACATTTCCACACGAACAAGACATCAAAGCTAGTTAGTTATATTCTGAGCTCCCACATGTCTTGACCAAACACAGACACAAGCATTCAGTCTTTGACAGCTCCAACAACATAACAAAGTCCAGATGGTTACCTTCTCAACAGCAGGGACTGAATAATGCATTTCTTTGGCTCAAACCAGACAAGAGAGAAAGAGTCAAGAATCTCACAGGCAGATTCTTATGATACTGACCTTCTCCAATGCGTCTGTTGCTGCATGATTAATGCTGACTCATGCTAAAAGAACGCCTTAGCTTTAAATGTGATTTATACACATCAGATAAAAGAAGCTCTTTAATAGTATAACTGGTGGGTTTATGTTCAGTATTACCATGTTGCTGAGGTGACGCTGATACATTTACGAGTGTCCAGACAGATTTTCTGTCATTAAAACTGACTCCTGGTAAATGGAGCACAACTAATGGAAAGACAGAGAAGTGTTTTCCATGAAAGTGTCTCGGAACTTCAAACAACCTCAGAGGGAAATACTGATAGACCTCAAGCAGCCACTGAAATGAAATCTGGCTGTCTGGCTTTTCACTGGCAGTGCAGGAAAGTAATAATTGCACAGTTGCATTCTCATATTGCTCTTGAATGATAAAAACAAAATATATAGCCACGTTACATGGGCTTTGGATTTCAAATCAGTACTTTCACTAATTGATGAATTGGCATCTGATCTTGGGAGTATTGGGAGATCTTGATCCAAGAGATTGCTTAAAGAATGTATCTAATGAAGAAGAGGATTAACTTTAAGTTCACTACACCTGAGGGATTGGGCTGGTGATATGGGACTTATGTAGCAGAGAATTCAGAGAAAAAGAAGGTAATGTATGCATGAATATTTATTCTGTTCATGAGTGTGACGTGCTTAATTGAACTCTAACCAAAAGTCTACTGAGTGTGATTTTGGGAAACCTGCCTTCTTTTTTGTTTTTATTGTCAGTTGTTGTGGGAAGAGTGAGAAGAGCTCCAGAAGAAGGCAAAAAGAAGAAGAAGGACAAGAAGAAGAACAAAGATCCAAATGCCACCAAAAAGCCCAAAACTGAAAAGAAGGGAAAGAAGAAAGACAGGCAGACGACCACGACTCTCCCACCAACCACAACAGGTGAAAACATAACAAATAGGAAATGGGTATGAATGAATTTGGACTTGATGTTGACCTTTTGTCCTTCTGATGCCTCCAGCGATCCCTACTGAACCACCCACTGAGCCATACACAGACTATGCTTATCCTGATGTAGGTGAGTGACACACAATAGGGAACCATACGGCAACAGAGGGTGGTTATTCTTATATTGCAGTTTGTAGATTTGACCCACCCACTGGATTTTTATTTCATTTGGACATCGCCTGTCCTAGAAAGACTTCAAGATCCTTCTCCTAATACCTAAAAAAACCCATAGTACTAGTTTGGTAGAACTTTCCACCATTACTTCGACTTAGGAAAAGAATAAAGATTTTAGAGGGGAACTCCACCCGTTTTAAACATAACAAGTCTGTTTACAGGACTTTACTTTGGTTTACTATGAAACATGTTGAATCCAGCAATTTGTGGCTACAGAGGGCCCTTACGTCAAGTGATGTCACATTGTTTATGTCAATTTAAAAGTTATTACAAGTTAAAAGGCCCTCCTCTGCTCTCAAGAAAATAATGAAGTTCCCTTAGGAGAAAAGAAAAGAAAAACAAAACCCATCCCTTTGCTGACCTTAATCATTTGTGAACAGCCCCTTAGGAAGGGGACCTTGGACCCCTCAATTTTCCTTTACCTAAACACACAAATTCAAATCCAGTTACTGAATTGGGATTTTTAAAAATAGCTTGTACCAGTACTTTTTAGACGTCAAAGCCATACTGTCCTAAAACTGTCTTAAATGTAGTTTTTCCAGCATGCATTGTTTAAAGAAAAACTTTAGTCATGGTTGCTTGTGTGTTCATGGTTTTGGGAGGGGGGGGGGTGCATTTATTTTACAGGACAGCTATAGAGAGAAAGAAAATGTGAGGAGAGAGAGTGGGGGATGACATGCATCAAATAGGGTCAGGACCAGCAGCTGGTAGTGTGACCGGTGACACAAGGACTGTAGTCTCTGTGTCTGGAGCGCATGCTCTGCAGACAGCGCCTCTTGTGTTACACTTCTAATAAAGTGTTTGTTTGTAATTATTTCTAAGTATAAACTTGAAAAACAGACAAATTATTTAAGTCTAGTAGTCTCTGCCCACCAACAGTGATCTGTTTCTCTGTCAGACAATGAGTACTGGAAACCAGAAGACGATGACTACTGGGAGGCCGAGCCCACACCATCCAGGCCTCCGTCCGAAGTCACAGATCCACCGTACGACTACTGGAAGCCGGAGGAAGAAGACCCAGCTGCTCTAGTGACAGATGGCTATGATGACTACTGGAAACCAGCAGAGAAAGAGCAGTTGACCCCAGCGCCTGATTCCTACGACTACTGGACTCAAGATGTGAAAAATCCACACGCTCCAGTGACTGATAACTATGACAGCTACTGGAAAGAGCCGGATCCCACACCCCCTGCCCCAGAGGTTGATGGGAAGGCTGGGACAGATGAAAGTGATTACTGGGATGCCACTTGTAAGTCTGACTCTCTGCTTTGTTTTCTTCCTGGATTTTTGTGGGGGGACAGTTTATCAAACATGAGAACAATTAAGCCGTAATAATCCAGTAAGTGGTGCAAAGATTCAATTCTTTACAAGAAAAAAGGAAAACATATGAGCCAAAGTATTCTTTGATGTATCCTGCAAAATCCTTTTTTATTACGATATTTTTTTGTAGTAAGTGATTCTTGGAGATAAACAGAACTGAGAGACCGGATAATATGTTAAACCCTGGAACATTTTGAGGAAGAATTGTGCAATCTTTTAACTTTACTCAACTTCAGAGACAGTTTGTCCTCTCAGCTAATAGAAGTGTGCTTTAAAACAGATGGACACATGGTAGAGCTTAAGTTGAGCCATTAACTTATATATTTTATATTGCATCTACTTGTTTAACATCATATCCAACTGCATTTATTATTTCTTACCATTTTCAGGAGACTACTGTTTGCGAACAGTAAATCATGAATCACTGAAACCTGTTTGAAATGTGTGGCTGAAATGTGTTTCAAAGATGTAGAGCAGGAAGTGGTTATAGTGGATCTCCTCATGGATGAGTTTGTCTTTAATTTGATCACAGAGAAAACCATATGACTCATCTGGAAGACTTGTAGAAAACAGACACGTAACTTTCCCCACATCAAAAAGACAAATTTCTGGAAAATGTTAATACAACCTCTAAAGAGAAGACCGTGATAGGTAGAAGAACGATACTTTCAGCTGACAATGAGTCTTAATAACATGATTTAACGTGTTTTTAGAGCAGGACAGATGGAATTTTATTGGCTCAAAAACATTTTAACTACTCACTGCTGTTGAAGCAAGAGTCTGAATGTGCTGCCCCAAACTAAAGTTTTGTGTCAAAATATGGATCTTTACTTTTTAACAAACTGTTTGATATGATTTCAAGTTTCAGGTGTCTATGGTGACAGAGGGACATTTAATGACATCATTTGCACATTTTTAACCTAATATTTCTCTTATTTAAGCTTGGAATAATCCTTAAACACTGTAAACACCTTTTCCAAATAAAGCTGCATTACTAATACCTGATCCAGAATGATCCAGAATGATCCAGAAGAATTGAAGTTTAGTATTGATGCTAAAAGTTTTTATGGTTGATATCGCCTCCAGACTCTGTCCACCTGAATTCAGCACTGTCTGACTTTTTTTTCCACAGAATCAGATGTTGGAAACTGCAGTGTGGTTCAGTCACACTTATCCGGACCCGACCGGACATGTTGTCATTACTGTGTGTTTCCAGCAGACTGTTCCGTACCACAGCTCCTCCAACCTTTCCACTGATTCACTCACACTTGCCCGTTTCAGCCTCTTCTGTTACTTTCCTGTTTCTCAGTCCACCTCTGTTAAATCATTCCTCTGTTTGACCTTTTTAAATTGTATTATGTTTTATTTTTTCCACTCCTGCAGTCGAGGTGCCGGATAATCTTCCATTCCCCGATGGTGAAGAGGTCAGCCCTGAAATCAAAGTAGAAACGCTACCAGGTAACTGCTGTCACTGAAATATGCTGAAAATTCAATTCCAATCAAATCCATCAATCAACATTTTCAGTTACACAGTTTATTAGTTTGAAAAAAATCATCAGACTTTTGAAAAAGATGTCCCGTCCATCTCTGCCCTCAAATGTGGTGTGGATGACAAATCATGAGCAACACATGGGAATAACATCAGAGTTAACCTGCCCTACTTTCCAAACAGGAGTGGGCGGGTTTGTTTGTTCCTCTGAGTCGACAAAACTTTCCTGTCTTAAGATCACAACTCTGTTTATATTCTTGTAAATGAAAGATTTAGCAGCTGAATGACTTGGTAGGCGTCACAGTGGTATCCAAACAGACAACAGGGGCTGTGGTTGAATAAACCACGGCTGTACTTAACTGTAAAACTTTACACATCTCACCACTTCATTTAATAACATCTGACTTGTAATGTAGCAGTGGTTCTGAATGACTGAAAGAGACACTTTTGTTTTTTTTCTTATAACACAGAGGAGCCGACAACCTCTTCTCCTTATGAAGGGACGTGGTACGAAGATTATGACGAATATGGTACGTGGACACAAACATAATTTCTTAACAGATAGCAAACATTCTAGAAAGTCATGAATAAACCCATTGTTGGTGTATTTATTTCTATAAAATGATCCATGTCTTTATTTCACAGGGAGGAAAGAAGACAGAGAGACAGACGACAAATGGATGGAGAAGGAACGGGAGAGAGCAGCAAAAGAAAGAGAGAGAGAAGAGAGAGGTAAGAAAACTGACATATGGATCTTTTTTTCTTCCTTACAGAACTTCACGCAGCTAAATCATGTCAGTCTACATACTTTCCTGTCGTTACTGAAGCAAGGATCACGGCCTGTGCCCCAGATAAGCGCTCCATAGTGATCACTCCTCGGGATCCTATTTCCGTCATAAGACAATGCAGATGTGATTCCATGCAACGCTAATGTACAACCTGTGGTACATGCTTTAACTTGCATGACAGGGACAAAAGGTCACGCTTTCAAAACAAAATAGAGATTATTTGTGCAAGTTTAGAAGTCTCTTGTGAGCCAGACTGAAGCAGAGCGAACAAAAGCGGAGCTGAACTGAGAATGATCCACATGCAGAGGATTAGTGCGAGCGATAATAAAGAAAAGATACTACAAAGAGGGATTACAGAGTTAGGATGTTGTAATTTTAGTGCCACGTGTCTACTGCGTGTAGAGAGGTTAGCTGGTGGTTAAGGCGAGCCAGGGGACACTGATATATAGCACCGTCAGAGGACACTTCCTGCGTGGACGCTTCACTGCAATCTGGGTGCAAGCTGAGGAGAAAAGCATTAAAAAATAATAACTTTGTGCAAACGCCCAGGATTTTGGGGGTGCCTTGACAACTCAGGCAGATGTGGGTCTCCACCTACACACATCAGTGTATGCTAATGGATGCAAGTGTTTGTTTGCTTAAACATGTGTGTGTGGTAGCTTACATGTTTTACATTCCCACAGTCAGTAAGACCTTTTGGCAGCCATACAACCAGCTATGAACCACAATGTCAAAGAGCAACAAAGAGAAGTGTGTCAGAATATTAATAAAGACAGTGATAAATGGGAGACGGCGCTAGTCTTCTTTAAAAGTCAACTCTCTGGGTCAGGATGATACAGATTTTGATCAGAGACTAGGAGGGAAATCACAACATCTGGGTTGTTTTTCTCCAAACTCCAACCTTCCAAGTCCCCTTGTGAATTTTTGGCGCATGAAATTTGCAAAATAATGATGAGTTCCTAGATTATTTCTGGGCAGAGGGAAAGAGAGGAAATATGCAGCCAAGAAAGACGACTTTATTTTGCATTAAGTCTGTTTTCTGACCTCTTCCAGAGAGAGCGCAGAAGCTGAAGGAGGCAGAGGATCGAGCCAGGAACAGACCACGTGTCTTCAAAGAGCCAAAGAGTAAGTCTACTGTCTGTTCAACTCTGGGAAAACATCGCACAAGCTTTGCTAATGTGATTAACATATCATTTGATTTTCTCTGTTTGCGTGGCAGATTGTCCACCCCTGGGGATGGAGTCCCATAAGGTTGAGCCGGACCAGCTTTCAGCCTCTTCCATGTCTCAGTATATCTTTGCACCGCAGAGGGCGAGACTGAACATGCAGGTAGACAACGATCAGAGCACAACTGGTCGTACATACACTGCAGCTATCACTTACACACCGCCGGGCCTCGAATTAAACACCAGATACAAGACACATGTTGGAAAATACTGTTTTTGCTGAGTCTGTCGCTTCCAGTAGCTGCTTTGATTTTTTTTTTTAAACTTTATAGTCTAAGAATCGTTTGAGCTGCTGAGTAATAAACACAGCTTATAAATCTTTTAAAAATTTCTGCTTACCACAGCTCGTGTTTAATTAGAAAAGCTCAAATGCTGTGAGAGTCAAATGATTTTGAAGTCAGTGTTTGATGAGGTGACATTTGTCATACGTGCTGTCCTCTTTGCTTCTTAGGGCTCAGATGATGAAGATAACATGAGAGGAGGAGCGTGGTGTGCAAACTCAGAGGACAAGATCCACTGGTTTGAGATTGATGCTCGCAGGGACACAGAGTTCACGGGAGTCATAACACAAGGACGAGACTCCATAAATGAGTATGAAACCAACACGCACAAGAATTGCACACCTAATTTTACATTTCTAAATCAAACATCTTGCCCACCTTGTATTTTCTCTTCCCAGGAACGACTTTGTGATGTCCTACTACCTGGCTTTCAGCAACGACAGCAGAGAATGGACAACCATCCATGATGGATATTCAGACTGGGTGAGTTCACATCAAATCATTTCACACTCTTGGGCACATTGGATTATGTCTCTCTCTTTCTTCCCTGGCTTACTTTTCTCCCTCCTGTCTTTCATCCAGTTGTTCTTTGGAAACAGCGATAAAGACACTCCAGTGATGAACCAGCTGGCAGAGCCGGTGCTGGCTCGCTACATCCGCATCATCCCTCAGAGCTGGAACGGCTCTCTGTGTATGAGGCTAGAGGTCCTGGGCTGCCCCCTGCCTGGTGAGCCTCTCACATGAACACACCGTACATGCATGTGACTAAAGCCTGCACACATAGGTTATATGTACCTGCTCATTTTTCCTTGACAGATCCAGTCGATGCTCAGTACAGGCAAAATGAAGTGGCTCCAGTAGATTACTTGAAGTTCAAGCATCACAGCTACACAGAGATGGTTACTGTGAGTATTTTCACACACACACACACCCTGATTAAGAAAGAGTCCTTCCTCTGATCGAGACTTTAACACAAATCCTTTTCAAGCATCATCACATGCATGTGACCTAAAATGCAAACTAGTCAGCTAGTCACTAGCAAGTGAACAAAGAGGTTCAATGAGTTTCTTAAAGTATGGATACATAGCTGCAAAGAATACACAGTTTAGTTAGCATTGATAAAAGTATGTTTGAAAGTAAAAACCTGTTTTTATAAGACTATAAACAGCTGAAATAGTGAACTTAAGGTATGCTAAACAGGTGAAAGTGTTAACTAAAAATATGATGAGCAGCTGAATTGGTTATTTAAGACTGTAGTGTATGGATTTATCGTTGAAACAGTTAGCTTTAAGTTATGGCTTAAAAGTTGAAATAGCAAAAGAAAAATATTTTCAACTATGAAATATTTAGCAAGTAAGGAAACATGACCTAACCACTCTCATGTACCTCTAAGCATCCACAATTTCCTAACTTAAAACAGCACTATTGAGGATTTTTAAAGCTTTTTCAATGGAAAATATAAGTCAGAATGACCTTTTCATAATTTAATAAGCTGAAGAGATGTTCAGCTGCCATGAAATACATGGGAAAAGGTCTTGTGTTGCAGTTTGAAAGCTAACCTATGGCAGTTTCATAAAACTGTTTCTGTCTTTCATGTGTTCAGCTCATGAAGTCAGTGCACGATGAGTGTCCCAACATCACCAGCATCTACAGTCTGGGCCGCAGCACCAAGGGACTGGAAATCCTGGCCATGGTCATCTCTGGCAACCCCACCGAGCACGAAATAGGTGGGAATATTTCTGACAGCCTTGAAACAAGCATTAAGAACTATTATTTAAAAAGTTAAAAACTTTAATAATGCAAGCTTTTTCATCAAGTGTTTTCAATACCATTCAAATCCTTAGGCATGCTTTCATTCCAACTAGAGCAAAACCAGCTGTTATCTGGACCACAGGCTGAAATAGAGTTCAGTTAAAATGAAAACCTGAGGACTGTTGGGCCACAACGGCACCACAGAAGATTCATGTAAATCCTAATAAACACCAGGTGGGAGTCTGTGGATTATGGTTGAGGGACAAACAGCTTCAGTCTTGTTCGGTCGTCTCTGCAGGTGAGCCAGAGTTTCGCTTCACGGCTGGTCTTCACGGAAATGAGGCAGTGGGTCGGGAGATGCTACTGCTTCTTATGCAGTACCTGTGCAAAGAGTACAAAGACAGAAACCCCAGGGCCATGCGGCTGGTGGAGGGAATACGCATCCACCTGGTTCCCTCGCTCAACCCTGATGGACAAATGGAAGCCTTTGAAGCAGTAAGTGATCTTTTATAGTCGTGTTTGTACTAAACTGGCACCGAAAAATGAAAACCATCCAGAAGATGTCAGTGAATCACCTTCTGTAGCTGTCTGTGGTAACTTAGAGGCATGTGTCTACTATCCAAATCCTCCACTGCAGGGATCGGAGTTGAGCGGATGGACAACAGGACACTTCACAGATGCCGGCTTTGACATCTTCCAGAACTTTCCCGACCTGAACAGTATCTTGTGGGATGCTGAGGATAAGGGCATGGTGCCCAAACTTACCCCCAACCACCATGTACCCATCCCAGAGAGCTTTGAGACCAACAGCTCGGTAAGGCTGAAACTGTTTTATAGGGAATTTGATAACCGTATAAATGTGGTTGTGGCCTCAGTAAACAAGAAATAAAAGTATTTTGATTGAGCTAACACTGGTTTTTAGCTCGACCATTTGTGTGATGTGGATCCTCCTGTTTTTGTTCCAGATTGCTGTGGAAACCAGGGCCATAATCTCCTGGATGAAAAGCCATCCATTTGTGCTGGGTGCGAACTTTCAGGGCGGGGAGTCAATTGTGGCCTATCCTTATGACAACTTACGCCCCAACAAGCCCGCTGAGAGCCTGAAAGCCCACAGCCGCAAGAAGAGACAGTATGACTATTTCTGCCCTTTTATCCGTTGTATTCTGTTGTTGATTCTTTGCTTTACACAAGTTTTCTAAATATGTCTTTATTTTCCCCTGCGCAGCTCTCCATGAATCTCTCAGAGCTACAGTCATGTTTACTAACTGGAATCATTTCTTACAGATATGAGGAAGAAAGTTTTGATGTGAACGAGTGGGGGAGGGGCTACCAAGAGGAGCCAGAGGAAGACTGGAGAGGAAGAGGATATGCAGAGCCAGAGGAGGAGTGGAGGGGCCAGGGCTACGACCGTGGCCAGGGCTACAACCAGGGCTACGACCGTGGCCAGGGCTACAACCAGGGCTACGACCAGGGCTACGACCGTGGCCATGACCGTGGCTACGACCAGGGCTACGACCGTGGCCAGGGCTACAACCAGGGCTACGACCGTGGCTACGACCGTGGTGATGACCAGGGTAATGATCGAGGCTACGACAACGGCTACGACCCCAGCTACAACCAAGGTTATGGTCACAGGGAGGAGGAGGAAGATGACAGAGGAAGAAGTGCTGGCTACCAGTACAGCGAGCCTGAGGATGAGCCCCGGGTGATTGCAGACGAGTCTCTCTTCAGGTGGCTGGCTGTGTCCTACGCCTCCACCCACCTCACCATGACACACAGCTACCACGGCTCCTGCCATGGGGACAACTCTGCTGGGGTGCACGGCATTGTCAACCGGGCCAAATGGAAGCCAGTCACAGGAAGTAAGTAGAGGCCACAAAGATAAACCTACTGGGTTTGCGGGTAATGGACTTACTGCACCCTGGTGGACATTGTATGAAGTGCTGGCACTGAGGTTGACATGTTATGTTCACACATCTTTAGGTATGAATGACTTCAGCTACCTGCACACCAATTGTTTTGAGCTGTCCATATTCCTTGGATGTGATAAGTTTCCTCATCAGAGTGACTTGGCCAGGGAGTGGGAGAAGAACAGAGAAGCCATGCTCATTTTCATGGAGCAGGTAAACATAAATTACACTGACATGATATATTTGAACAATGCTGGACCATGGTAACATAAGATCTTTTAGCCCGTTATCCTCCCCCCCTTTGCCGCGTCTAGGTGCATCGTGGAATCAGGGGCATTGTGAAAGACCAGCAGGGCAACCCTATTGGAAACGCCACTGTGTCTGTAGAGGGGGTCAACCATGATGTCACTACAGGTAAAAGATGTCTTCTTCTTAGCTATCATGTATTTTAACCATTGAAAAGTGGACATTGCCTTCAGTTTCAAAAGTGAAGCCAATGCAACAGTCTTAATTCTTCTTTCTTTCTTATAGCCAGCAGGGGGCGTCTGCACTGGTTGCAAAAGAGCTCCAATTGTATTGGAGATGAGAAACAGGCCCAACCTCTCTGTTCATTTATTAATTTTTTAGTGGGTTATGGTCAAGATTGCTAGTCTTCATGGCTAGTTTTCTTCTTCAATACATCATAATCTTGATTTTGTACGAAGGAGTATTTGGGCCACATTAAGGTGGAAAAAAATCAGAGATTTCAAGATTAAAGTCATAAATTTACGAGAAGAAAGTCGTAAATTTACAAGATTAAATTAGTAAATTTATAAATCAAGACAGATTGGCTGAGTATTAACTCTCGATGGAATGACCTGCTTTAACATAAAAGTTTGACAAGGTCTCAAAATATCCAATTAGTTGTTTTGGGGCTTTACTTATGCAGATACAAAACTATACATTCTTTTGGCACGTCAGCATCACATTGTCATGAGTATCAGAGCCCTGAAAATATACTGCAAGAATCTAGGGCTTTTCCCAAGAAAGAGCCAAACTGACCTGGAGGAAATAGTCTCTTTGGTGGTGGAGAAATGGCTTTGAGGGTTCTCCTTTCATCAGTTTTGCGGAGGCGGATGGCTGCTCTTCTGATATACAAACTTTCAGAATAATAATTTGAACCATAGCTAATTTAAATCTATTTACAAATTTCAAATCGTAAATTAATGACTTTATTCTCGTGAATTTACTTATTTAATCTTGTAAACGTACGACTTTAATCTAATGCTCTGTTGTAATTTTGTGATTGATGGTCCCACTTAGAATAAAATGGAGGATAAAGCAGGATATAGTTTAGGGCCTGGCTACAAGTACCAGGTAAGTCTTTACAACAGTGACCTCACTAGCAGGATGAAGATGTTACAATGCATATTCACCATGTCATCACAAGTTGATCACTTCTGGTTCCAAAAATACAAGATGATGACGGACAACATGCAGAACTCGAGGCTTCATTGATGCTTTAAACACAAATATATGACTTACTTGTGGTTACCTCCACTTCTTTCACGCAGTCTATACTTCAACTCTGGTGCCTTGAAACAAAATGAAGCACCGTCTTTGCTTAAAGCTAAACATTTGTTTTCTCTTTGTCACTGCAGCACCAACAGGGGACTTCTGGCGGCTGCTGAACCCCGGGGAGTACCGTGTGACAGCTCGAGCTGAGGGTTTCTCCCCGGTGACCAAACTGTGTGTGGTGGGTTATCAGTCAGGAGCAACTGCCTGCAGCTTCAACCTGGCCAAGTCCAACTGGGACCGGATCAAACAGGTGAGGCACTACGCTGCTGAATTAACCACAACCTCGATGCCTGTCTGTCCAGTTCTTATTAAAGTGTCTGAAAATGTCTCTGCAGATCATGGCCCTCCATGGCAGCAAACCCATTCGACTCAGCTACAGCAACAACAAAGTACAGTACCCTGCAGTCACTAACGGCAACAGGCGTGTGGCTAATGGAAACATTGCTTATTCAGGGAATTCTCGACTCAGCGGTGAGCGGCAGAGGAGGCTAAAGATAGCGCGTCTACGTCGCCTTCGGCAACAGAGATTGATGAGGTTAAGATCAACTACGACGTTACCCCCAACAACCACGATTCCCACAACGACAGAGACCACCACATCCTGGTATGACTCGTGGGTCATAGGAGAGGGACAGTCATCGACACCTGGCGGTTTCACAGACTCCATCCTGGATTATAACTATGAGTACAAGATAGATGACTATTAAAATGAACACACACACACACACACACACACACATCTGTAAACACAAACCAGTCCTCTTAACTCTTGATGTTCCCACTGTCATGTTGTTGAAAAATCAAATAATTTTTCTCTTTGCTACATGTTAGCAGTGGGACTTTCCAGAATAGTAACTCTATTAATTGAATAGTGGATCTATTACTTGACAAACTGCCTCTTCATAGAAACTCATCCTGTCACTGTTCTGTCATTCAGTCTTTTTTATGAGACTTTAACTTCATGAGGTTTTTTTTTTTTTTTATTGTAGATGCACATAAACCAAAGTCATGACATTTTTATACTTCACCAGGGTTGAAATATTTACACTGTCTTCATCAATGGCAGACAGGTTTTTTTTACAGTATGAGCAGTCATTAAAGGTACAAAAGCATTTGTAACAGAGGAGTCAGAGGGAAAAAAGGAATCTTACACGTTTCCTCAGATACAGCTGTGGTGAAAGAGTGACTTTTCTAATAAAGGCTTGTTCATACACAATGCTTGTCTTCTCTTTCCTAGTTAACACTGATTTGTTAACATAATCAAATGACCTTTATGATTTTTTTTTACAGTCTCCTATCAGAAGAGAGACAAAATCATTTGTAATATCTCAGGAGTGTCCAAGAAGTATCAGCATGTCGTAACGTTTGAGGTCGTGACACGTCAGTGACTGATGTTCATCTCACTTTCCTCATCCTCGTCAGCGGCGAATGCAGAGAAGCTAACCTGCTCACATTCAAGAGTGCGTAAATTGACCAGGCATGCTGTTTGGGTGCTGCAGAACTCTGGAACAGTAACCAGAAGAACTTCCTGGCCATCAGGACCTGCCAAGAGAAGGAAGACTAATTATTTGCACATGTATGAGGAGGACAACATATTTAATTAAATAATAATAATAACTATTTATGTAGCATTGTTTTCAACTTACAAAGTGCTTTACAATTAAAACAAGCCAAGAATAGTAAAAACAAATTCACAAATCAACAAATAATAGAAAACAAATAAATAAAGCCAATAAACATAAATATATACAGTATATCAATAAAAACCTGGTAAAGAAGAACACAACGGTTAAGAAACTGTTAAGGTGAGTTGCAAGAAGAGAATTAAAAGAGGACACACACTTTACCTGCTAATAATATGATCAAAATAACCTTTTGAGTCTCAATAAAGAATTAAAGTACAAAGTGAATGTCCAACAACTTCATACACTGACCTTTCAAGAGCTTGGACTCAAAGGTTGGGGCGTTGCCGCTGAAGTAAACATGGGGACACTCTTCCAAGATGAAAGGGTCTTTTTGGTAAAATGGGTAACAGCCTGAAAACAATGTTCAGAAAAAAGTGTAAATATACTGCACAAACAGGCAATAGGATCCATGTTTTATTTGTCATCAACTCATTTGAATGACCTAGAGTATCAGGTGCAGTAGGGGCCAGGTGTCTCAGTCGCAGCGTTTCCTCCAGTATCTCCAGGTGACTGTCTGTGCTGCTGTACCTCTGGATGTCATTCACATTCTGGCCTGATGTGCCCAGAAACCTTGGAGCAATCAAAAACACAAGAAAGGGGCTTCAAATATTTGCACACTTGCTTGGGATTTGAAGTTAAATGCAGAATGGAAGATGGTGATTGTGTATCATTTTACCTGACTCCATCAACATTGGCCTGGTGTGGATTGAAGGCTAACTGTAGCGTGGGATACACAGAGGACAGGGGGAACATGCAGCGATGGAGAGGCTGCTGTGGGAGGGTGTAGTTGGTGGGGTCATACTGGCCCGGCATAACATCCACTGGAACTGAGGCCTAGAAACAGCAGGTGGCAGTGACGCGCTAATCTTTTTAAGCACATGATGTTTTCCCTTACATTTGTGCTCAACCATATTTGGGCACTAGCAAGGATTATTTCTAATACTTATGATATATGAACACATCCTTAAAACTACAAGTATTACAAATTTCAAACAAATTGAAATAAAAATGTCAGTTTTACAACACCAACTATTATAAAAGTCAGAAAAGTATTCAAGTCAAGAAATGAAACCTCCAAAAAACATCACATTTCAGAGCCAGGGGTGTGACAAACTGCTTGCTCAGTAAATAAGTTAAATAGATAATACATTTTTTGTTTACTAAACTTACAAATGTATTAACAATAATCTAATTGTTGTCTCTCTGGGCTGGAATTGCAGATTGCAATAGAAGTGATAGAAAGGGATTCAATTCTCTTTGACTCTTTTGAATACTTAGACATGTAGGCCACATCTAGAGACACTGAAGAGAGTAACTATACAGCAAAATATGTGAAGGCAATCCAGTACATATAAGCTCCTTATATTAATTGTTTAATAAAGAATTAAAGATGCAAGTAGCTGAAGGCAGACTCACCACCAACTGCATCAGCAACTCATCCAGCAGACGCATCGCATCCACACTGCCCGCCTGAGTCTTCTTGGTGAGGTACTTTGCCTTAACATGCACAGCAAGCAAAACCGTTTTGAATGTTTTTCACTTTTTCTTCTTTAATCAAAGAGTAAAACTTAGAATCTGTGTATGTTAATAAATGTGAGTCACAGCTGAAGAAGTTCTGGTTACCTTTGTTGATGCATCCTTGTCCTGGGTGTTCTGGCTCAGAAGGTTTCCAGCCAATAGGACTCTGGAGATTGTCGCTGCCCCGCTCTGCTCCCCCTGGTCACCAAGCTGACCTGTTACCATGTCAACTAGCAACTGTAGTCCCAGCATGCTGTCAGCGTGACTACTACCAAGACCAAGTCCAGAAGCCAGAAGCACAAACCTGGATATTGAAAGACAACACCATGACAATCAAATGACCCATAACTGCTGAGATTTACACAGTATATGAATGAGCAAGTTTACCTGTCAGAGCTGAGCACCGGCCTTGGTGTCTGTGGAGGAAGATCAGCCATGCAAAAGTCCTCAACTGTGAACTTCCCATCATTCCTCTCTGCTCCATATATCGCAATAACACTACCTGAAAGAAAGAAAAAAAACGAGATACAGGAGGAATTTCACGGCTGTGTTTCTCTAATGTCTCTCTGTAATCCTCGGTATGACAGTAACATCTTATATATATATATCCTGACCTGTGACACACTTGTCTCTGTCAATTTTGCCCTCCAGTTTGATTCTCTGTAGTTCATCCTCCAGAATCAGCTCATCTGTTTCACTGATGTATTTGGTTCGTGCAGGCTGAGGCAGAAGGTTGTGCTGCAGGAGACAAGAAAACAAGAGACATGACACAAAATTACATGCCAGCATTTTGTCATGTGGGGGGGGGGGGGGGGGTCAGCTTGTGAATGTATCATATTTGCAGACCTCGTCACTGATCTCTCTTAGGATAGATGGCTGCAGCTCCATACGCTTGAACAAGGTCCCCACAATGCAACACTGCTCCCCTGTCTGAAGATCACACAGCTTCCTGATAAGCACATCCGATCCTGGCAGAAAGAAAACAAACATAATGGACATTTCAGGGGGGGAACAAATAAGATACTTAGGAGTCCCGGATGCGTGTAACTATGTCCTGAACTTACCCCACTTCTGCTGGGCTCTCTCTGACAACAAGGGCCTCATCTGCATCAACCTTGCTGCGTAAATATGAGCATACTGCCGACTGAAACTCCGCTCCCCCACTTTGAAGCGCTCAGGGCAGGGACTGTAGGCCGGCGACGTCCTCTCAAACACCGGCCCTTGCTCCTCGGAGGCGGGGCGACACAGCAGACTGGAGCCCTGCTTCTGGGCGCTTAAGTCGGAGAACATTTCTGTCCTGGAGCAAGGGGGAAAAAAGACACAAGTAATGACTATAATGTGCTAAATAAAACTTAATGTCCAGCTTCTTGCACGTTAATAAACAAGCCAGTAAGAAGATACTGTGTAGCCTAACTCAGCGCTGTTTCCACTGAGCCCTTACAAAACCTATCGATGTTTGACACATGACTGCTAAAGTAGCTGATCGTTGGACTTTACCTTCTAATAGACGAAGTTCGGCTTCAGTTGTTATTGTATCAAACCAAATATTAAGCAATATTTCCAGGTGACACTGAGTTGGGTCCTTTTCAAGATCAGTTCCCGCGAAATAACCTGCTCAACGCTACAGCATGCGTATTCTCGCGAGACTTAGTACGGAGTACGGGAAACAAAAAGAAAAAAGGAAACATTGCGTCAGTATTATAATCACAATATACGTACCACCAGCCTCAACAAAATGACGAACACACACTTTAACATGTAAGGGTTAATAAATAATTATACTCACACTGATACCGGCCTAGCTTCTTCTTCTTTTTTTTTTTTTTTTAATCTCTTACAGTCGCAAAAAAAAAAACTACGTCACTGATTCAATGAACGGGGTCGCACGTAATTTACGTCATAATAACGTCGCGGTAGCACGCAGGCTCGCCATTTTTCGCAGCTCTTTGTGCGCCACTGCCTGCTAAGAGTTTGCGTGTTTTAACTGAGCAAATTCTCAGTTTCGGGTATTCATTAAGTTGTGAAAGATGCAGGGAAACCGAGGCCCCCAGCAGAATCACGGCCCCAATCGCCAGGCAGACCACAAAAAACCCGGGGGATCAAACACAAATGGCCAGCAGCCTGCCGAGCAGACCGACCCCAATGAGGCCTTAACCCTGGACCTGCAGAGCTTCAGGAAGCCGGGGGAGAAAACCTTCACACAGCGCAGCAGGCTCTTTGTGGGAAACTTACCGAGCGGAGTCACCGAGGAGGATCTGGAGAAGATGTTCGCCAAGTACGGCAAGGCCAGTGAAATCTTCATCAACAAGGAGAGGGGCTTTGGCTTCATCCGGCTGGAGACGAGGATCATAGCTGAGATCGCCAGAGCCGAGCTGGACGACACCCCCTTTAAAGGCAGGCCCATACGGGTGAGGTTTGCAACACACGGTGCAGCTTTGACAGTGAAAAATCTGCCTGACTTTGTGTCCAACGAGTTGCTGGAGGAGGCCTTCGCTGGGTTTGGTCAGATAGAAAGAGCTGTGGTCATAGTGGATGACCGAGGGAGGCCAACAGGGAAGGGAATAGTGGAGTACACCTCAAAGCCAGCTGCGAGAAAGGCTTTGGATAAGTGTGGTGATGGTGCCTATCTTCTCACAGCCTTCCCTCGACCTGTCACAGTGGAGCCTATGGAACAGTTGGACGACGAGGAGGGTCTGTCAGAAAAGTTGATAAACAAAAACCAGCAATACCACAAAGAGCGCGAGCAGCCCCCGAGGTTTGCTCAGCCGGGTTCTTTCGAGTACGAGTACGCCATGCGCTGGAAGGCCCTGATGGAGATGGAGAAGCAGCAGTACGAAATGGTGGACCGCAACATGAAGGAGGCGCAGGAGAAGCTGGAGGCCGAGATGGAAGCGGCCAGGCATGAGCACCAGGTCATGCTGATGAGACAGGACCTGCTGAGGCGGCAGGAGGAGCTGCGAAGGATGGAGGAGCTCCACAATCAGGAGGTGCAGAAGAGGAAACAGGCCGAGATCCGACAGGAGGAGGAGCGCAGGAGGAGGGAGGAGGAGATGAGGATGCGCAATGAGGAGTTGATGAAGAGGCAGCAGGAGGGCTTCAGGGGTAACTTCTCTGAAAACAGGGAGCAAGAAATCAGGATGCATATGGGCAACCACGGGATGCCAATGAACAGAAACTCTCTGGGTGGAAATTCTGGTCCTGCTGGAACTCCAGGCATGGCTGCTGAAAACGCCCCCTTGATGGCCGGCCCAGGAAACAACAACATGGCCGGAGGAGTACAGGGGGGCTTCCCCAGAGGCGTCCCTGCCCCTGGAGACTATGGACCTAACAAGCAACGCAGATTTTGAAGCACATGTCTAATCTCTCCCCTTTTCATACTTACTGTATTTTGAAGTTCATGTAGTGAGTGTTACTTAATGAACTTTAAAACACTGTTGCATGTTTTTTTTTTGTTTTTTTTTTACTTTTTATTTGTACTTTCAAGTTCTGTTTTAGAACAAAGATGTTATAACTTTCCAAATGAGCCATGTGTTTTACTTTATCACTCATCCTGATGTAGTTTTCATAGTAATAGGAAAAATGTTTTTGTCCTGGATATGTTGACTTTTCTGGAATAAATTCATGATTCCCAAAGAGTTCTGTTTGATATTTCAGAGTCTTTAACTTTAACTCACTGCCACTGTTTCATCATGTTCAGTTATTTTTTTTAAACGTTTACATTTTTGATTATAATAATCACATAGGGCACAGCCCACTCTGGGTCTTGGTTCAGTGTTTTAATGCTGGATATTTGGCACTGGTTTGAGTATTAATGTAATTGACACAGTTAAAAGCAGAACATAATGTCACAACAGTGACACAATCTCTGGTCAAACATGCAAAATGATGTAAAGTAAAAAAATAAGTAGATATAACTGCCCAGTGTGATTGGAAAATTGAATGAGCCTCCAGTGACAGTAATGAAAAGTATCTACTCGTGACTTCCTAAAATAGATCTCTTAAGAAATATATAAGGCTGTAAATACCCTTACCTTTAAGCCATCTTCTCTCAAATAACAAAGAAAAACCAGGCCTCTTTAATATCTTCTTTTCAGATAGTACCACGGCACGGAGAGGACAGGTGTAATCATTTCTAGCTCAGACATATAAGTCAAGTGTGATAACCTGTGGAGCAGAGCCATAAAACATTATTAATTATGCTGTCACCTTCCCTGCCGTGGCAACGTAAAGATAGTGCCATGACCGTAACCCCGTCTGTAATGATGTCTGCCCCCCGTCAGCAGATCAGAGTCTATTAATTTAGTTGTTTTGTGACTCATCTAAAAAGAGACAGAAAAGTCAGCACCATAAACATCCTTTAAGTTTCCTTCATCTTGGTAAGAGCAGCAAAACATCAACGGACGCGTGTGCTGACTTTTCTGTCTCTTGTTGCAGTCATGAACTGTTTACGCTCCTTTTTTTGTTGTTTTTGTGACTTATCTAACCCGAGAGGAGTCCCAACCTGCTGATCACTCAATAAAGAATACAGCACTGTCCAAACAATGAGGTAAGGTACACCTACATACCCACTCAGTGATAACCATAGTCTGTATGTACAGAGTGCAATAAGGTGTTACAACTCTATTGAACAAGCGCTGGCTAATGAGAATGGAAAAGGGGGATCAATTTATGATTGTCTGCAGAAGGAAGTAAAAGTAAACTGGTCTCACATTTTTTTCTATCCACTAAATAAACAAGATGGGTGAAAAGGAATAAAGTCAGTGATGTGGAAATGACTAAGCAGCTCACGGAGTCTCTTACTAAACGTCTTCTAGTGTCAAAACATCCAGCTGTGAGATGACATTTCACCCTCCCTGATAAAGACGACAATTTGATGTAATTCCAGATACGTGACGATCCTCATATCTCCATCACGCATATGTTTTATATCCTCTCGGACAGTTTTCAGCTGATAAACGTGACCTTTCCAAGGAAACTAACCTTCACCTTTATTCAGAGTCCAAAAAAAGCTGAGATAACCATCCTGCTCCACCATCCAGCCAGCACAATGAGCTCCATAAACAAAGCGTGATAAGAGCTCCATCATAAAGAGGGGAAAGTGTATGTAATCTGGAGGTTAGATCAGCAATGTCTTTGAGAAAAAATTATCAAGATTGATATGAAGTCTTTAAACTGTAGCTTATAGGATGGAAGGCAACTTTTCTCTGTGTAAGATTATGTTCTTTTATTTTAAGTTTTGGGCCAGTCACTCGAGTTAATAGTTATGAATTAGTAAATTGTCACCTTTTATTTCTTAATGAAAAACTGTGTGATTATAAATACATACCAGACTAAATAAATCAAACCTTGCAGTTTTGTATTGTCAGTGCTTCAAAATCTTATCAGTTTTGTAACTTCATTTTGAAGTTATTTCAATTTGTCAGACCCTGTTTTTTTTTTCTAAATACCTGTTTGTGATATTATTGTATTTTAGATCTTTTGTTTGAATAATTTTGCCTGCAAGGTACCACACACTATTTTGGAGTAGGGTATATTCATGCACACCTACACCAACTACCACGGTGAATAGAGAGTGAAAGGCTTGAAGAGGTCAAAACAATCCAGCAACACTTGTAGTGTGAAGATCAACTTGAATAACTTAATTAGACCTTTGTGAGATTTGAACAGGAAAAAAATACTGAGCAGGATCAGTGCAGATCCAGGCCCCCTTTGTGTCTAATTATTAAAAAATGACAGCTATCACATACAAATATGCCTTGCTACATTTACTGACAACTAAAGACGTATCAAAGCAGTGGATGCTATAAATGAAATGACTAAGCAATTTTTTGCAAAAACCAGTACCTCTCTGACTGGAAATATACAGTAAATCTTTCACTTTGTCACACAAACAAAACTTGAAGTTATATCGTAATTTAGGTAGTTTAAATTCACTTAGATATGGAGCCTCATCATCTGATCATATGCTTCCATTTAAAACATAACAGGTTCTCTGAAATATTTGAAGGTTTATGATATTTTCCAACCAATAAAACATGAAAACTCTCACAGTTAGGCTCCTTTGCTCCCTCGATGTAACATGAGAAAAACACAGGTGAGTTTATCTAAAAGCAAGCAAGTTTAAGCTACCAACTCTAACTTATTGATTTATAGATACTCATCTCTCTGTAATGTACATTCAAATTAACATTTTCATTTCAAACTGAAAACTGGAACATGATAGATGATGATTACCTCAAAAGAGGTATTTAACAATGCATACTTGAATGTACCATGCAGTGAAGCCATATCTTATTGAATCTCAATTTTCAGGGTGGTAATTGTTACCCTATGCACGCATTGTGATCTATTACACTGGTGTCATTAATGTGTGTTACAAACAGTTGCCAGATATGATAAACCTGTTATTTGTGAAGCGTTTGTTCATTTGTGAATATATAATACTTTATCAAATGTCTTAATGTCCCTGTGTATCACAGACTCACAGTATATGTAGGCTTTATACGTTACTGTTATAATGAAGACCCTGATCTAGCTGCACACGTTCATATCACAATCGACCCCTTCAGATTTCTGGAGTTGACAGGATGTGATTTCTTTCACAAATCTAAGGTTGAATGGCATCAATTGGTTGTGTTAGTATGAATAATGTTTTGGTAAACTGACTCACATTAATATGCTCATAAAGCCTGACTGCCAGAACACTGTGCACCTCTCAAGGCTGAGTAAAGATCATAAAATAGATCTGAAATAATAACTTAAGACAGCAATAACAACATAGAGATTCACCTCTTCACAGAGAAGCAATTTTAACAACAAAAAGTTGGTTAGATTGAATTACAATGTTGATTATTTCAGAGCTGCCTACTTGTAAAACATTTCGGCCATAGATCCCAATACCAATGATTTTTCTTTAAATTTCAATATACTGCAGAGTTTCTTCCTTTCTGCCGTGACTCATCAGCTTTTGAAAGAACAAAGAACATCACCATATCTGCCCTTTTTCTTCTTGTCATTTTTGCCATCTCTGTTTATCTTAAACTGAATTGCTCGTGCAACTTCGCCCTCATACCTCTAATCCCTGTGGCATAACAACCAGCCTTAGCTGAAAGTTTTATCTCAGCTTTGACCTTGACCACTGATTTAAAAAAAAAAACGTGATTACATAGGAGAACTTAGATTTTAGGATAGGATACAGGAAGATAGTTGTATTGTGTATGAATGGCAGCCTTTTACTACTTTGAAGATTTGGGTTTAAGAGTTTTATACAAACACAAGAAAACAGAGAGTTGAAGGATACTGTCTCTCTCTCACCTAATAGTTCTGATAGCTGGTCTAATGGTCAAGTTCAGACCAGCTGTACTGTTCTGAACTTTGTATGTCACATACACTGCCCTTAAACCAATAGAAAAATCATTTAGGTGTGGGCTGTTTTTATGTTTTTATGTCTTCAAATCTTCAACACAAAAGCTCGAATAGTTGTCTGTAAAAGTCTGACGCAGGTGAAGAAACTGGGTGCGGTTGTTATTTTGGTTTCCCTGTAGTTTCTCTGCTTTGAATATCCCCGGCAACCCTATCAAAATCTCGCCCACGTTAATTATCAGACAGAGGGATTGATCACACATATTGCTATTGGCCAGCAGCTGCATCAGACCAGATAAGACAGGTGTGACATCACAGGAGTGGCGCAACATGGCATGATGTTCCTCCTTCTCTCAGCCCTCACACTGTTAGACAGACAGGCAGACAAATGGTAGGAGAGAGAGGACAGAACATCTTACACTGTCTAATCTCATCTAATGTATCTTCTAAAAGAGCATCAGTGATTAATAAACACTCCATTTAACTGAACCTAAGGACCCTGACTCTTGCTCTGCTGCTGAAAAACTCCCAGGAATCATGGTCCGTGTCGCAGCTCTGATAATTTTCCTGGCCTGTATGGTGAGTTGGTCTGGTGATCTCACTTTGTCACCTATAATATCAAAGTATTTTAAAGGATTTTCAGTCAAACGCATGAGTTCAGATTTCTTTATTCTCTCTCTTCAGTATGAAAAGCATTACTGCGATATGATCGTTGAACAGGATTGAATAGTAGAAACATATAAGTCTAACTGCTTAAGAGAATTAAATAACAAGTAAATGTCATCTTTAGCAGAAAATGGGACAATGTTACAATTAAACTGTAATTAAGGATCCATTTACAGCTAACAATAAATATACTTTTGTTTCAGCTGTACGCAATAAATGTCAAAAGTACACATCTTATTCGAGTGCTGCTGTTAGTAATAGAAGTGCAGAGGCAGACAGCTGCAGTGAGTCACTCAGATAAATGTCTCCACTGATTAAATGTTTGTCTGTAAAATGTGTGGAAGCACTTCAATTCTTCTTGATTAACATTCAGTTTGTATTTGTTTTTATTTCAGACTTGTATGAAAGATAAAACTAATTGGCAAATTCATTTTTCAAGTAAAAGTCTAGATGCCTATTTTGTAACATAGGCA